ATTCAACTTTTTTCTCTCTCTCTTCACTCCACAAAATAAAGTGTGTTATATGAAGACACTCTGAAAATAGGTCAGATAAGAGCAGTCCTCAGAATACCATCACTGTGTAAAGGATATTCTTTATCAAAACTTCCTATTATGATAGAAATGTTTATGCATGGGGGAAATGGGGAAGCCCATGTCTCTGCAGTTGGGTCAAATAAATACCAAAAGTGAAGAGCTGCAGGAAACAGAGTGTTCTGTAATTCTGGACCGTCTGAATACTCACCAGGAAACGGGAATGCTGGAGTTTCCAGTGGTGAGAATGCAGTTCTTCTCCTCAGGATTAATCATGGTGGGGGAAACTGTCAGCGAGGCACTGGTGTTGACTATCGGCCGGGATCTGTAGGCAACAACAAGAATGCTGATTGAAGACACAGTCATCAGATATTACAGTTTCCACTTTAAGTGCTTTATAGATTAGCTTCAGATTTTGGAAACTCTATTTCTCTGTCTTTCCTTTTGTTTTGTTCTTACACTATATCTGTAGAGTGACCAAACATTTATCTTGGCACACCAGGAAGACAAACACAGCCATGCTTTTTTCCCCCCAGACTGAATTTTGGAATTTGACTTTTCAATCAAGCAAAAACATACATAAAAATAAAACATACCTATATAGAATAGCCTTATTAATACCAAAAGCTCCAACAATGAGATCTGAGGAAATTAAGAAAGATAAATTAAACACACACAAAAAAATAATAATAATAAAACGTTAATGATGCTCATTACAAATTTCATCCTCACTTACCTGGGTATCCGTTCATGTCCAGGTCCTTAGCACCTCTGAGGGCAAATCCAAAGCTAGCAGGAATAGTCCCTGCAGCCCACTGTCCCCTAATCACCTGAGATGGCTTTTGTCTGAGTCCTTCTGAGTATCCATTATAAATATAAACCAGTCCCTGCTGATCCTCTCCTCCAAATGGACAGCTGATAGCCACATCTTGCAGGGGGAAAAAAATTAAGATTTAGAGAAAGAAACTAAAATCACAGAGCACTTTATTTACAGTTTCAGCTGTTTTTCACTACAAAATTAATATGCATGCTTTTCTTAAATAGCCTATGTAGATTTTCTTGCTCTACAAAGTGTTGCTAATGTTTTGAAATTGCACAAAGAAGCCACTTAAGATGCAAAACTTTTTTTCTTTGACATAAGGACCCTGGGGTATTTAGAAGTCAACCTATGTATAATGCTCTGTGTGATCTACATAATCTCTAGTTATGTAGGAATGAAACTTACGGTCCATTTCTGTGATTAAAGCTAAAACTGAATCCTAGCTGATCAGCTCTCATGTTCATCCTCTTATACCAAGATCACTTAATATACTCATCATTGTATATATACACTATATCATTTATTGACTATATGCCTTATATTGCAGCAACACTTAAAGTTCATAACCAACTTTGACTTCGACTTTGGAATTCCTTACCCCCTGACCTCAGAAACATTACTTAATTCCCTCTTTTTAAGTCCACCCTCAAAACTCATCTGTTTAAAATTGCTTATGTTTAAACCACTGTATGTTCTTAACTTTTATCTGTTATTTTTATTATTATTGTGTATATTTTCAGTTTTTGTGTTTTTATCTGTTGTACAGTGTCCTTGGGTGCTTTGAAAGGCGCTATTTTTAAATAAAATGTATTATTATTATTGTATTATTATAACTGTTTTATCTTTTAAGCTAAACACTTAGTTACCATCCATAACAGTCTTTAGGTTTAGCATTATTAGTATTCTAGTTTGGTTCATTCATAAAGTGAAATGTATTGTAGGCTATAAATATTGTTAAAGTCACCAAAGCTATTCGGCTTCATTCTTTAGAGACCATAAGTGGTTCAAGCAAGCACATTTCTACAGAGCGCCATTGTGTTATAGCGTAATCTTTGATATTATAACAAAGCATACAAGCATTCTCAAAGTGTAATGAGAAAAAAGTAGCATCATAATAGATTGTTACTAAATTTCCTTCTTTTAAATTGTTGCCTTATATATCATTTCCCCACATTACCAATTTCTGTCCTACCATATTATAATGCCATATTCTTACCATTGAAACCATCCAAGTTCAGATCTCCCAATGGTGCAATGGTGCTGCCAAATCTCCCAAACACCTGAGTGCCTGTTAGAGGTAGGCGGGACTCTAGTTTCAAGGGGCTACGCTGGAGATAAACGTAGACTTGGCCCATCTCTTCAAGGCGTCCATGAGAGCTTCGGACCATGAGCATGGGAGCTCCCACCAGCAGGTCAACCATCCTGCAGACAAAACAGGAACATCACAAAAAAGAATTTAAAGTCAGATACACTGAAAAATAAAAGAAAGAAAGACAGACAGCTACTACTCACCCATCACTGTTAATGTCAGTTGTGGCCACTGCATACCCAAAATATGAGCCCATCTATTAAAAAAAGAAAAAAGAAAAGGTGTTTCCATGACATTAAACATCACATCAACAGAAGGCATGATTACAATTTAAGCAGTCCAAAATCCCAAACCCCTCACACTGTTAAACTAAACTTCAGGCGCGTTTTCTCTGTTACTAGAACAAAAAAAAAAATCATAAAGCCTCAAGAAATCACAAAGGCTTGATGGGTTTTACAGGTTGGGTCCAGTGAAGGCCGGTCGGTTCCATTTCTCGTTCAGTTTCTGTCACGATTTTCAGTCTACATAGCACTGCAAAAGCAGTCTCGCCGGAGTGTATTCAAATTCGCTTGTGATTATGTTGGTTCAGCTGAATCAATCACCAGTGTTGAAATAAGATGATTGCTTTTCTATTCCCAGAACCATTTGCACAAATTGCAACTGCACTTTCCCCCCAAGAACTGAGATTTGCAGTATTGTGTTTGCTAGATTTTTGTCTCTATTGTGGTTTGCAGTAGAGGAAATTATTTATGCTTACTATGAATCAGCAAATTAAGAGCTCTCATGGGGAGCTGAGCAATAAAAACACAGAGGAAGTGGAGCATTACAGAACTTTCTGTAGTTGGCTCAGGCGGGAGTTTTTGGACTCACCTGCTCTCCAGTGTACTCAGTCATGTTTGTCAGATCTGTACCGTTCAGAATAGACACCTGCAACACAGCAAGCACATATGGCGAACTTTCTTTTTATAGGGTCTAATATAAGCACGATCCATGGAAAGGAATTCACTGCAAAAATAATCCCCACTGTGACAATATCGCTAAGGTTGTTTTCTTTCTTGTATCATTCCCAAGTATAAATCCCAGGTTTCCCATTCTAAAAGCGCTTAAATGAAAGCCAAAATGAGAGTGATGATTAAGCAATCTTACCGAACCATAAAGCATGTGTCCTTTTGGAACCCCAGCAACAAAATCTGTGAGACAAAGCAAAGATTTAAAGAGGGAAAAATACAGTTAAAGCCCAGTCAGAGGATAACAGAATTTACTAAAGACATTTCCAGCTCAATAATTATGTAAAATATTGTAAGGGATTTATGTTTCTCTTACTACAACTATAACATTCATGTTGCTCTGTAAATGTCTTTAAGTGTTTCAATATTTGTCAACCTCACCCAATGCTGGCAGTGTCTGCTACCTGATTTGTTGACTTACCTTCTACCCCATCACCACTAAATTCCCCAGCTGCAACAGAGTAGCCTGTAGGAAACAGAAAAATTAGCTTTCGTGGCAGGTACATGACGATATGTAATTTAGCAAAATTTATAAAATTTTAATTAGCTTACCTTGATAGCTGTCATCTTTCAAAGAATGGGCCTGTTTGGTCTGGATCTGGCCACTCACCGCCTGAATAAAATAGCCTGGATAGTATGCTCTGATAATGTCCTCCTTAGCTGCAGAGATCACTTGACCTAAAATAAGATAAGATAATGATAAGAAAGAAACTTGGAAGGACATACTGAGATTTCTGTGTGTGCGTGTGCGCGTGATTTTTGTTTTTGACTTTTGATGGATGCAGGTCGTACATACCTTGCCAGAAATAACTGCCTGGTCCTCCCAGCACCACTTTGCCATCCTAAAAAAAATAACACCTGTGAATTACCTCAGTGGGAAAAAATACAACTATTCAAGAAACCTGTGTTGGTTCACTGACAGAAAATGTACATTTACCTTTGTAAAGTCGGCACTGAATCCTCCCTGGCAGTAACCTTGTCCTGATGGACCACTGATTTCTGAAGGACAAAAGGAGCGGTGTATCATGAAGGACTTACTGTCAGAATAAGTGAAGCATCAACAAATGATATCCAGAAACCATCCAGGAAACAACCATTGATGTTATCCTGATATATTAAAGCATCCATGCCAATAAGATTTGAAGAGAGGTGATGATTACCTGTACGACAAGGAGCATACTCCACAAAGTTGGTGAAGTTTTCGACAGAGAGGTAGCAGCTTCCTGTAGCATCAGAATGGGGATTATCCTCCTTAGTTCTCCATGAGTAAAGTGGGGCACAAGCCTGCAGTTCACAGGAGTGGGATTGACAAGTAAGAAAAGTGGAGGATTAACAGTGTGTTGATGAACAGGGTGAGCCATTAGGTGGGAGATGTTTTTCCAGTTGTGAAAACCCCCCCCTGTTGAACTCAGAATGGGTCTCAAGCTGAGGTCAGTGGAGTGTCTTGTGTGGGGGTAACCATGTAACTCAACCCAGGTCACAAGCCGTACAATCAGACCAAACAACAGGCAGCTAAACTTTGATGTCACATGGTGTATGTGTGTGGCTGTGAGCACAGTGAGTTGAGACTAGGGGTGAAAATTGGACCTGAATGACAACAACTTAATGGGCAATAATCTAGCCACTTCTCCTAACGTCTAACTAACACAGGATATGTGCAATCACCCAGCCATGAGAGTGAGTCATCACTCAAGTAAAAAGTTTCTCACAGTCGTATATCAGGCCATCAGGCTAGTCTGAAATTCCTGATCTTCCTGATCAGCAGAAAGCAACAGCTGAGGTTTTCATCCCTTAAGGAAGATTCTATCATTTTAAATGCATCTCTTCGAGGGCTACCTTACCAGAATTGTGTCACCATGAGACCGGACAGTGGCACCAAACCATTGGTGGGATTTGAAATCAGCTTGGTAATTTGTGTCATTGAGCAAGACATTGCGATCCCCTGGGGAAATAAAGGAAGAGAGAGAGAAAAGAATTTGAGTTATAGCAGCATGATAACACATGCATTCCTTCAGCTGGACCTCAAGCATCATAACGCTGCCTGCCCCTCCCTTCCAGATTCTTGGAAACATCTGTAAAAACTGGCAGACAACATGCATTATGTTACACTTTCTTCATACAGAGATGATTAGACTTGAAAAGAATGTTATTTCCTACTCGGCCACTGTTCTACTGATAGTAGTTGTGTTAGCTTTTGCCAGGTTTGGACTGGACTGGTGTGGCTTAACCCTGCTGACCCTTTGCCCTGTTTGACCACCTGGACAGTATCACTGATCTCCCACTTTAGTGCTCTGACAGCAGCAGGTGATGCGACAGATGGTCTGGGGAGTCAGGTTTAAACACAACTTTATTGGAAAACAGATGCTACATCTGTGCTGCAATAAAGAACGAAATCCCAACTAATTGATTTTGCAAGGAAGACACATATCGCACATATGAGTGTAGGAGCTGACATCTGTAAGGGGAAGTGCAAATGTGCGTATAAGATCAGCCATTCCACGAGTCCTTCACTCATAATCCCCATTCACTCAGACTTCTGCAACCACAGGTGTCTTTCTAAAGAACAGAGCTAGTGTCTGTCAAACAGAACTGGGAGATACTGGGAAAGATCAAGACCCATGTGGATGTGAGGAAGAATTGTGTATTATATTCACTCTGTCCATGCCTGTCTTCCTCTAGTCTTTCTTTCCAGCCAACTAGGCAGCCTGGAGCTGAGGATGAAGGCCTGCACCATGTCTTTGCGGAAACAGCAAAGGGGCTGGGGTCCAAGGAAAACACACACACTCCGGCCTCGCTTCCTCACAGCAGCTTCTCACTCATCTCTATTTAGGCACCCACTTCACTTTCCCCTTCTCTGTTGTCAGTTTCAACATTATCACTATTTTCCTATTCATTTTTCTTTCACTATCTCACCACAAGGCTCCTCAACTGCACAGCCCCTTCTCCCATCTGTTTCCAGAGAGTGATGCCTCCCATCACCCAAGCAGTAAGCAGAGAGAATATAGTTTTTTAATAACCCAAATCTATTTCTGTTTAATCTCCATCTCTGGGGCTTTCGTGCTAACAGTATTCATCATGGGCGAGCAGCAGGCTGCTATGATTCGAGTGTTCAAAAGAGTGATAAGAAGTGCTTTTGCTGCATGGGCAAAACCCCAACCAGTACTTCAAACAGCTCCTTGTTGCTTTAACTAATCTGCCTTAGCTGCATGGTATGTTTTTTTTTAACATTTTCATAACAGAAGGGTTTGTTTGGTCAAGGCAAATGCTAATCGGCCAGGTGAAGATTAAGACTGACCAACATCTGTGTTGGTTTGCGTTAACTTCCCAAGATAACCAAGAGTAGCATTCAAAAAGGTGGTCTTGTTATTACTACTGTCTAACTATGCTCAGGTTATCTTGCAGGGTGACAGAAAGGAAGCACCTCATAGTAAGGACCCAAACAAGGTTAGCAAAGTCTTTATGTGGCTCTGTCTCACTATAATGAATGCTGAAAAGCTCTTTTTGTTGTCTGTGAGGCGACGGAAGGCAGCCAGCTGTAATCATGTGGAATTCCTTTAAGATAAAAATAGAGGAGATTCACAGGGGAGATAAAGGGAAATCCAGAGAAGGACCCACAACAAGATGTGATCCGACCAAAGTCCCCCTGGGAGGCTGGATAGCACGGTGTGCTGATGTGATGTGGTGCCAGTCTCTCCAGGGAGCAGAGGGGCAGTGAAGGTCTGCAGTGCATACATAGACTCACTGTCTACTTTGAACTGTGGGTGAGTGGAGAGCCATTAGTGTGGTCAGACCCTCTCGTTTTAAGTGTGTATGTGTTTTGCTGTGTGTCAGTGAGGTAGAAGACAAATGGCCAAATTCACTCATCACATCAGCTGCCCCTGTGGGAGTACTGACAGCAGGAGACGAGAGGGGAACAGAAGAGAGCTGGTCTCTGGTTTCTTGGCCTTTCCTCTTTTCTCTCGTTCCCTGCCTCCCATCCTGTATGTGTCCTCTCAAATAGACAGGCTCTTATCTCAGTGGCAGAGGAAGTGGATAGGAGGGAGTCTCTGGCCACTTTGACCCAATTAGTTAGGCTAATTAAGAGGTTCTGTGGCCTCTGGGTCAGAGCTCAAAAACACCAAGAAACAGGCGACCTCTGACACCACTTTGTTTCAAGAATATACAAGACACTCTAGAGCCATTTTCTTTATTATTCATACTGAATAAATTGGGGGAAAAGAAAAAAAAAATCACTAAATGTATTTTTTATTGCACTAGTCTTTACTATCATGATTGGCAAAGAAAATACAGGCAAAGCTGCAGTAAATGAATTGCAGCAGTAAATGTCATTCATGTAACAGCTGCTTGTCATAGCCATATTTGCATGCAGATGTTCATGGACTAAGCGTTCCTCCACAGCACTGCAGTTTCACTCTGATCCAGATGTGAGAGCTGGCACTGGCACTCTAATCGGCTCTTTCAAAGCATTTTCAAAATATGAAGGACTCTGACAGCCCAGGAGACTAACCTTGACCGTGAGGGCTCATTGAATGTGCATGATATCACTCCGCGTGGCCTTTAGCCAGCATCCATGGCTGCACGACACATTTTATGTTGCAAGAAAAGCAGTGCTAAAATAGTGGAGAAAAGGGTACCAAGCAGTGGCATCCAATAGGGGGAAAAAGGGCTTGTGAAACATGCAGTGGAATATTTCTCCACTTTGTCGATTAGGGAGAAAAAATTTAAGTTGGTCAACAATTCTAAGTTTGATTTCCCAGGAAAGAAGCCAGAAGTGATGGGGTCCTCCTACATGTATGAGTCATACTGTTTGTGTGTTTGTATAGGAGTATGTCTTTGCTACATCGTTTATAATTTGACCTGCTCTTTCTTCACTTCGCCGTGGATCCATTGTGCAAAACAGGGCTTGTGGGCACTCTGTCAACATACTGAAACATGAATCCACTCTTAAGACAACCTCACACGCTTCCTCGTGTTCTTCTAAACCACTTTACTTGATTTTGACTCGACTGGAGCCTCTTTGTTAAGACTGGTAGTGTCTACCTCACCTGTCATACAAACAGGATATTTCTTTGTCCGACCTATTTGTTTATTGGTTGCTTATCTCCGTATACCTCCCGAGGCCAGGCAACACAAACATGATCTGGAGGAAGGAAGTAGTACCCTTCAAGAACTTTTTGACACCTCATTATCTTTTTATCCCTGAAGAGAAGACAAACAGGAAAAAAGGAACAACCAAAGTCCAGGAACTAATGTAGCCAACAACCACTCAATGGAGTAAAACAATGATTCCTTTTCCAGAAAGAAAATGCTCTGATTGCCTCCAAAAAATGGACAGAGAAACAACAATACTGAATAGTTTAAGAGCAAACAGTATATCCCAACAAACAGGTTAAAGGGAAAAGGGAGTGTAGTTGCATTGCACAGATAGCAGGATTGTGCAAATAACCTTCTATGAAGTAAAAAGCTCCAAAGCCTCCACTTTGGCTAATTTTTTTTCTTTCATTTTTAACTCTGCATGATGTCAGTGAGAAACAGCTCCAGCCTTGAGCCTGAAAACACAGCACATCTTCTGATCAAACCTCATGGTTGAACAGAAGAAATTTGACATAAAGGGAGGGAGAAGGCAGAAGAAAATTATTTGTTTCAGAGAGTGGATGAACTGATTTGCAGCATCAAGGCCCTGTGGAGAAGGATTTCTTTTGAATTGCAAAGCTAGAAAAGAGCATAAAACTTCTTTGGCGCTAATGAAGCCCAGAGTGTAAATATCAGTCATAAGACTTACCTTCAAGGTCAAATTCGATGGTGTGGCAGTTGGTTTGGCTGGAGCTCCATGGACAGTAGAATACAGACCCTCCCTCTGTAACGTTGAACTGCTTTGTTCTAGCCTTGGGGGCTCCAACCAGCACACTTGCACTGCAAAGAAAAGACAGACAGGGTGGGTGACTAACAGATAACCAAGCATTTTTAAATGTACATTTTTTTAATCAAACCACGGTTTGTAGCTCAAAAGTCATTTCACACATATGCTACACCCTTTTTTAATCAATCAGAGGTGCATGTGAGAGTGCAAATGTACCACACAGATACAAAGTTTCTGTTATTTGAAGTTGCACCGATATGAGAACAGCATGGGTACTTTGCTTTAGGTTAAGGTGTCAAACCTAAAGTAAAGAGAATATTTCCAACACAGCTAAATGCCAGCCATCTCCTGCTGTGAGCTACATGTGAGACAGGAAAACTTTCGGACACTGTCCCAACCAAATTTTTTCCAACATTTTTGGGAGTTCATGTGTGAAAACATCTCCAACCTGACTTCAATTAAAAACTGCATTCCAGACCTCCCACCTGAACAGCTTTAAGCATGATCCGGCGCACGTTTTTTTTAAACATCCTAACAGGTTGCAGCACTGTTTTACATAATCCCCTACAACCACTGCAAGCTGCAGCAATGTTGACAGGCACATTCACTCCCTTTGTTTACAGTAAGACACATACAAGGGGAAACAATTGCATGGTCACACACGCTCCCCTGTGGGCCAGATTCACAAGGAAAACAAAAAAGCAGACAGGCTAAGTAGAGTCACTCTCTTGTTTCTACAGCTGTGATACTAAGTGTCCTTGGAGCTACACTGTACAACTACAGAAAGGCAAGTCACCCGTGAAGAGGCGCAACCAGTAGACACGGAAAGAATAGTGAGGTTATAGGTGAGTTCCAAACAGAAATAAAAGAATAAAAGCAGTAAGGGGGTGCTATGTAAATTGAGACAATCAAGCCTTAGGCAAGATTAGGGGGGGGACCTATCCAGTAGATAATGTGCCTAAGGGCTTAGCCATTACCTCATTCCTGAGCCACTTGACCTGACAAGCATCACAGACGTATTTGGGATTGATGTGGGTAGAGGAGGTATGGGACCAATGAGACCAGACAGTGTCTAGGGAGCTTAAAAACAGGAAGAATACACCCTTTCCTGCCCTAGATCTACCAACAGTGCATGAAGGTTTACATTGGGGCTAAACTTAGTATCATGGCCCGAAGGGTAACTACTCAGTATGGTCCAGAAAAAGACAGGAGAGTCAGTATGAGTCAGTATGAGTCAAACAGCAGTTAAACGGTGGAATATTCCAAGGATGGTATAATCCACTGTAATTAATCCTCCTGGAACATAACTGTAGATGCTAAGATGCAGAAAACCACAGAGAAAAAACATCTAACAGCGGTGGGGCAGGGTCTATTGATGGTCAGCACAAAGCTTTCAAATCCTCTCAGCATCTATGGTTATGAAAACACATATGTGAGAGAACAAAGAGAAGGTCACGGTCGCACTGTTACTGTAGCCTGTACCTCATAAGAATGTGCAATGCCAGTTCCAAATCCGGAGCAGAAAATCCCGTTGGAAGAGGAACAAAGAAGCAAACCAATTCAATTTGGAGAGGAAGAACCTGTGTCCCCCCCCACCCTTTTATTTTTGATTGCATATGCAGACTCAGGGATATCCCAGTAAAGCAGCAAAGACCTGCATGTTCAGTATTGTAAATCACAGCAGGATTTCCTAGTTGTGATTTCTCACAATAAGACAGATGGAGAGCTTGCTTTTGCTATCTTAAAATTCAGATCTGAATTTAGAAGTAGCAGAAGTTTCTCACCAGCAGACCCTTCATGTGTGCCTCTCACAAGTCCTCCAAACCTATGCGAGAAAAGTTCATTGAGCACAGTTGCCTTTGTTTCAGCCAAATGCTCTCGGACAACCAGGATGAGCAAATGATTTTTTGGCAAAATAATTTAAGAATTAATCTGCAAGCACATGCACGCAATAAATGACACAGCTGGAGGAACATGTACACAATAATAAGGCAGAGGAAACAAAGCCGCAGCATCTTTTGTTGAATCAGATCTGAACAGAGTCCAGCCACAGTTGGCCATGGCAGCTTTTCAAAGAGAGGAGAAAAAAAAAATCAGGAAATAACCAAACAAGCACATCATGCTTTAATCAGCAAGCTGGCAGTTGAAGGCAGTTTTTTTGACGACTTTACACTGATACATGCAGATGTGCAAAGACGCGCACACACAAAGTTCTGCACTGTAAAGCAGGAAGAATTAGCATTTAATGGGTCTTTATCT